TTTTTTAAGATTTTATTTATTTATTTGACAGAGAGAGAGATATAGCAAGAGAGGGAACACAAACAGGGGGCGTGGGAGAGGGAAAAGCAGGCTTCCTTCGGAGCAGGGAGCTCGATGCCGGGCTCGATCCCAGGACCCTGGGACCATGACCTGAGCGGAAGGCAGGCGCTTAACCGACTGAGCCACCCAGGCGCCCCTAGGACACACTGATCTAAAACAACTCTGCCTTGGAATCTAGCAGAAAGTTTGGGGTGAGGGGATTTCCTTTCTTAGAGGAATGGGAATGGTGGGCTCTTTCTCTCCGGATACGTTCCCCTGGAAGCAAGTAGAGGCCGTCAGATTTATCCAGTTACACTTCAAGCTGCCTCAAAGATGAAAACATTTCTTTCTCGATGAAAGCTTTTGTTTGGAGCACCCAGCAGATTGGAGGCCTTGAAAGGACTCGGTCATAGTAACTGACAGGTGTCACACACATTTTGTTCATTATACTCAGGCACAATTCACAGATTCTAGGAATGCGCTGGCCCATCTTCCAGCCGAGGAAAGGCCGAGGTTGCATTACTGCCTGAGAATTATCCATTTGGAGAAGTGGAACCAAGATCAGAACTGAGGCAATCTGATGCCGAAATCTGTGCCTTTAACCACCAGGGGAACTGCCTCAGTATGAGGGGCTCTTAGCCTGGACTATTTTAGTTGAGAGTGACAGAAACCCCAATCAAACTGGTTCATACCAAACAGACAACAGTGGGAAGGAATTTGTAGACTCCCCAGGTCCACTCTGAGCATCCCCACCTGACTCTCCCTTTCCTAGCTCCCACCCCAGGGGCCACACTGCCTGTCACCCCCACCCGCCCATCCCCTACCCCCTAACTGCAGCCCATTCGGTGTGTCCAGGCCCAGCAGAAGCGAGCCTCCCTCTCTGAACACCATAGACCAGTCTAGGCAAGGACTCTTACTGGACAGATTGGCTCATTGGCTCATCCAGGACCAACTGCTGTTTCCAGCTTGGCTCACACTGCGTCATGGGCCTGGTCCCAGTCTTTTGGCGGGGATGGGTGATGCACAACAGTGTGCTTGATAGCACAGGGAGGAAAGCAGGGTATTGGCAGACGAAAACACAGATGGTTACCAGAAAGCATCCACACCACCAGCCTGGCACCTGCGTGAGCAGCAGTGTGCTTCCTAGGAGAGGCACCTCTGCCCACCCTTCCCCAAGCGATGAGCAGCTATTCTGCTTTCCCCCCAGCTGAAGGGTCCATTCGGGGGGATTCCAGCACTCGGGTTCTCACGCTGAAGCTGAACAACACGACGCAGCGTGTGTTCTGCTAACAAACCCTCACCACTGTGAAAAGTTTCTTCAATCAAGGTGTAATGTGGGCATACTGAAGACAACTGCCAGACGACCATGCTGCACAGGAAGGGCCCTGAGAACCCCAAGGCTTTGACACTGAACCAGAGACACATTGACATGATGGCTTCCCATGAGAGCTAAGACCCCTCCGGAGACAGCTTTCTGGATTTTCAAATACGTTATGGCTGGCCCAGGTATCAGGCCATGCATCCTGTATTTTCTTCCAGATACATGGGTGCCCTACAAATGGCCCCAGTTTGAAGGTCACCAGAGTCTTCCAGGACCCACTCATCTTCTTACCGACCTGCAGTCCCAGGGGTAGACAGTCCTTTAAGGAGATGAAGGTGCACACTGTGGGTTGCATGGAATACTCTCAGACCAAATGAGACAGACCCATGATGTTTCCATGCTTCTAATGAGGCCATTTCTGTCCCTTGGGCCTGGGCAGACAAGGGCCCTGACACCAGTTTATGGGGAAGGAGAGATCAGCCCAGGGGTGGTGGAGTCATGGCTAAGCATGAGGCACCAGGACTCTGGGGCCCCTTAGATGTTCTGTGTGACTCTGCAGAGTGTCATGTGTATCTGGCTTTTCTTTTCTTTTCTTTTCTTTCTTTCTTTCTTTTATTTTTTAAGAGAGAGAGAGTGAGAGAGAATGCATGGGGGTGGGGGGAGGTGGGGGAGAAAGAATCTTAAGCAGGCTCCATGCCCAGTGGAGAGCCCAACACGGGGCTCCATCTCATGACCCTGAGATCATGACCTGAACCAAAATCAAGAGTCAGATGCTCAATCACCTGAGCCCCCCAGGTGCCCTATGGCTTTTCTAAAACTGTGAAATCAAATTCATGTATTGTATCTGTCAAGAGAAGGTGTAGAGATGAAAAGTGCTCCAAAAGGAGAAAAGAAGTTTATTTACAAGAAGGGGCAAGAGAGCCAGACTTCAGTAACACTCTCTCATCCAATAAAAAGTCCAGCAAATATCTCACATTAGACTCACAAGATTACCATGTTTACATCTGTCTTTTCATGGTGGAAAAGCAAAAACCCCTCACACAATTACCACCCACACGTTGTGTTACATCCTCAGACAACAACTCTGAAAGCCAGGGATGAGGTGGTTTCTGCCGAGAGTCCGGACTTACGGGAAATGCTCAAGATTTTGTTCTTTGGAGATCAAAACTAGCCTGAGTGACGGTATTGTTTTTATTTTGTATGAGGGTACAGAGTGTTTTTCCCTCCCTGACTGCTGACTGTGGAAAGTGATCTGCAGGCACATTTATAATGGGGGCTGGGTCTAGTGCTGGTTTGCCCGGGGTGAGTCATTTGTTTGCATTGGGTCCGTTTCTCTCCTTCTTCCAACATGGCTCCCGGCCCTTCAGAGACACGATCAAAGTTAGTACCGCTCCCAAGAGGACACTCCTTTTTCCTACTGGCATCAGGACGGTCCTAGGGCCATAAGGAAAGGTGGCTTTGACAAAATGACACATGTCATCTGCCATTAAAGAGAAGAAATAGTGCCAAAGCTGCGGATTTCTGCTTCTTTCAGCTTTTTTTCTTATTTCCTGAAATCATCTGAGACGCATGAATCATTACATCTGTTAATCTTAATGAGGCAGAAGAATATCTTGAAATACCATTATTCTTGGTACTTCCTTCCTAGCCTGTGACTCTTTCATCAGTAAGAGCCTGAGTTTGGATGCTTCAGGGGAGGCTGAGCTGAGAGAGCAGAATATCCTTGCCTTTGACTTCTAAACTGGGGCCGTGAAATCCAGCCCAGAGACACACAAAGCTCAAGCACCTGACTTCCTGGGTAAGAATAATAAAGGCATTGGAGTCTCGGGAAGGACTCAGAGCTAAAGCTTGCACACACACACACACACACACACGACGCATGCACACGTGTACAAGCACGCACCCATGAGCACACACTTAGAAGAGTCTGTTTTCCCACCACTCCAAGAGGAGAGAACTTTCTGAGTTGGGGACTTGGGCCTGTTTTGCCAACAAGACCCAATTTCTTTTTTTTTCATGTAACATCTTTCTTTTTTTGTAAGTGTTTATTTTCAGTTAGTTAACATACAGTTTACTATTAGTTTCAGGTGTGCAGTATAGTGATTCAAATCTTCCATACATCACCTGGTGCTCACCACGACAGGTGCACTCCTTGATCCCCTTCTTATATTTGACCTGTCCCCCCTCCCTTTCTGGTAACCATCAGCTTGTTCTCTGTAGTTAAGAGTCTGTTTCTTGTTTTGTCTCTCTGTTTTCCCTTTGCTCATTTGTTTTGTTTCTTAAATTCCACATATGAGTGAAATCATGGTATTTGTCTTTCTCTGACTGACTTATTTCACTTAGCCTTATACTTTCTAGATCCAGCCATGTTGTTGCAAATGGCAAGATTTCATTCTTCTTATGGCTGAGTAATATTCCATTGTATATACATACCACCTCTTCTTTATCCATTCATCAGTCAATGGACACTTGGGCGGCTTCCATAATTCAGCTGTTGTAAATAATGCTGCGGTAAACATTGGGGTGCATGTATCCCTTTGAATTGGTGTTTCTGTATTCTTTGGGTAAATATCCAGTATTGTGATTGCTGGATCAAAGAATAGTTCTGTTTTTAACTTTTTGAGGAATCTCCATACTGTTTTCCGGAGTGGCTGCACCAGCTTGCATTCCCACCAACAGCACAAGAGGGTTCCTTTTTCTCCACATCCTTATCAACACTTGGGGTTTTATGTGTGTGTGTGTGTGTGTGTGTGTGGTTTTTGATTTCAGCCAACCTGACAGGTGTGAGGTGGTATCTCATTGTAGTTTTGACTTGCATTTCCTTGATGACGAGTAATGTTGAGCATCTTTTCATGTGTCTGCTGGCCATCTAGACATCTTCTTTGGAGAAGTGTCTGTTTATGTCTTCTGTCCATTTTTAAATTGGACTATTTGTTTTTTGGGTGTTAAGTTGTATCAGCTCTTTATATATTTTGGATACTAACCTTCTATCAGAGGTCATTTGCAAGTATTTTCTCCCATTCAGTAGGTTGCCTTTGAGTTTTTTTGATTATTTCCTTTGCTGTACAGAAGCTTTTTGTCTTGATGAAGTCCCAATAGTTTGTTTTTGCTTTTTTCCCTTCCTTGGGAGACACATCTAATGTCAAAGAAATTACTGCCTGTGTTATCTTCTAGGATTTTTATGGCTTCAGGTCTCACATTTAGGTCTTTTATCCATTTTGAATTTATTTTTGTGCATGATGTAAGAAAGTGGCCCAATTTTTTTCTTTTTCATGTAGCTGTTCAGCTTTCCCAACACTATTTGTTGAACAGACTGTCCTTTTCCCACCAGATATTCTTGTCTGCTTTGTCGAAGATTAACTGAACATAGAGTTGTGGCTGTATTTCTGGGTTTTCTATTCTGTTCTATTGACCAATGTGTCTATTTTTGTGCCAGTACCATACTGTTTTGATCACTACAGCTTTGTAATAGGACTTGAAGTCTGGAATTGTGATGCCTCCAGCTTTGCTTTTCTTTTTCAAGAAACTTTTTCAAGATCGCTTTGGCTATTTGGGGTCTTTTGTGGTTCCATACGAATTTAGGATTGTTTGCTCTGGTTCTGTGAAAAATACTGTTGGTATTTTGATAGGAATTGCATTACATGTGCAGATTGTTCCGGGTAGTATAGACATTTTAACAAAATTTGTTCCTCCGATCCATTAGCATGGGTTGTCTTTCCATTTCTTCGTGTTGCAACAAGACCCAATTTCGATTGTAGTTCTTGTCCTTTTTATCCTGTAGCCTCTGAGAAGTCCATTGCCTTTTTCATTCATTCATTGAATAGTTATTGAACATTTATTTTGTCCCTTCTAAAACAGACTGTGATGGCTCTGGATTTCACCATGGAACACTAAAGAACAGATATGAACTCTCTGTGAGGGTGATGCTGATGCGGATTCTACCTTCCTATCATGCCAGTGGGCCCTCATGCCTCCATTCAGCTGGGACAGAGACTCAGAGAGGAACTGCATGGGCTGAATTGTGCACTCCCCACCACCACCACCTAAATTCATATATTGAAGTCCTAACCTCACAATATGACCTTATTTGGAGATAGGGCCTTTACAGAGGTAATCAGACTAAAATGAGGTCATAAGAGTGGATTAGAGTTACTAATCCAATATGACTGGTGTCCATATAAAACGAGGAATTTGGAAACAGAAATACACAGGGGGGGAAGGGCTTGTGAAGATGAAGAGGGCCACCTACAAGCCAGGGAGAGAAGCCTGGGACAGATCCTTCCCTCACAGCGCTCAAAAGAACCAACCCTGCTGACACCTTGATCTTGGACTTCTGGCCTCCAGAACTGTGAGACAATAAATTTCTATTGTTAAAGCCGCCCAGTTTTCCAAACTGTGTTACAACGGCACTAGCAAACGAATACAGGAACCAACCCAAGCCCTTCGAGCCCTTCCTCTCGTGACCCACACAGATGCCCCTGGGGCACACTGAAGGCCATCCTTGTTTAATGTCTGTGCTTGCCCTAAAGACTCTGTGTGTCCTACCCCTCCTTCCCTGTGGGTGAAGAGGTCTCCAGCAGTGGATGGGGCAATAGGATGTGGAGTCAAGGGGCTTTGGGATTGCTGGTCCTTCCGTTACACCAGTTCTGCTAAGGGGTATCTGTTGGGGTGCTTGCCAGCCCATAAGCCGCTGATGCTCTTCTCTGGGAAGTTTTGCCTTTCCCTTGTCTCTGTTGGTTATAAAGAACACCCATTGGCCATGCTAATGCTAAGGCACCCTTTTTCTTAGCCATTGCTTATTGAACCAAGGAGGAAGCTTGACTCAAGCTAGGCCGATCTGATTTTTCCTATTCTTGGAAGTGTCAGATGGAACTGAGACAGAATCTGAGCTTTCGCCTATGGCTGAAACTGTAAGTGTAAATTTGGAGCTGCAGGGTGTCCATTGTCTATGGTGGGGCAGATAAGCAAGAAAGGAAGAACAAAGCAGACATTCAAAGAGGAGGAGGGTGGCAAACAACAGAGAGAGCCCTTCCAGCCTTCCTGTGCATTCCCTCCCTGAGACCTTGCTGCATCCCCCACATCTTGATAATCCACTCCGCTCCCCACCTTTGCTGAAGCTAGCTGGGCTACTTCACACTCACGACCCAATCTCTACCATAGCTCCTTCTCTTAATGTAGCTAAATACCTCTAAACACTAATTTTATAGCTAGAAACAATCGTCATAATCCAAAATCATGCATTTATTTTTTGCTAATTTCCTTTTGGTTGGAAATAAACCAGACTTGAATTCAAATCCCAGCTCTGTGACTTACTTGCTGTGTGATGTTGGACAAGTTTCTCAGTCTCTCTGGGCCTTCATCTCCTCATCTAAAGCAGGTAGGTGGTAAGCGTACCTGCCCTGATAGGTTGTTGTGAAAGACAAATTTCACACACAGTGTGGCAGATGGATATCTATTCACAATCTTATCACTTCTCTTCTGTAAGGCTACAAAAGTGTGATCTCAGGGTCCTGAGGTCGAGCCCCGCGTTGGGCTCCTTGCTGTGCGTGGAGTCTGCTTAAGATTCTTTCTCTCCGGGGGCGCCTGGGTGGCTCAGTTGGTTAAGCGTCTACCTTCGGTTCAGGTCATGATCTCAGGGTCCTGGGATTGAGCCCCGCATCGGGCTCCCTGCTCGGCGGGAAGCCTGCTTCTCCCGCTCCCCCTGCTTGTGTTCCCTCTCTTGCTATGTCTCTATCTTTCAAATAAATAAATAAAATCTTTAAAAAAAAATTAAAAAAAAAAAAGATTCTCTCTCTCCGTCTCCCTTTCCCCCTTCCCTCCCCTCCCCTTCTTTAAAGACAAAAG